AGGACGCAAGTTGGAGTATCCTGTGTCTTTGATATTAGGCAGTATACTAAGAGTAAAACAAAATTGTATATCATATTAGATGGAATACACTACGATACCACGTTACTATAATAGATCTCAGAAGAATTTATAATTTCCCTGCTAAAATGAAACGACGAACCCGTTCATTAACGAAATGTTCGCAGAACAGTTTTTGTTTAACAATATTTCCTCTGTATCATTTAAACGCCGATGCACAGCTGGCAGCGAGGAAAGTTCACAGGAGCGAAAGTTGCGCGCAAAAACATCGCCCTGACCATCCGGTTCGATTCGATAAAAGATGGATGATCCGACATCGAACGTACCGCCGATCGATCTCCGAGCTGACGCTCTCGAAGATGAAATGCACCCTTGGCGACGTCGAAACCGACCCTAACGCTCTGTCGGCCCGTCGTCCTCTGACCCCCTCCCCCTTTCCCTCCTCTGTTTTTGCAAGGCAACGGCATTCGGCCAACCGAACGGCCATATTTACGAGAAAGACGCGTGCCCCGCGTTGGAAGCTACGATCATCCCCCCTGATACGGCCGATTTCGAATACAAATTCGTCCATATGTAACTTCGAGAAACGGTTATTGGCCCAACTAAAGGTTATTAGGTCCGAGGTAAGTGGATCCTCCTCCTCGGTGACCAGGCACCTCACGTACCGTCGTGAATTCGGCGTCCCAGATGCAGACACTTTTAGTTTTATTTATATAGTGAACTGCCCGTGCCCGACGGGAGCACAAGCGATGGCTCGTGCCACCTTTTCTAATGGTCCTTTCGGGAAATCATTTGTCTAGGGAAATGATTCCGCTGGATTTTCACTCAATTGAAATATTAAATAGAGACGTAAACTTGACATTAGAAATTAGACAAGAAACATTCTTTTTCTTTTAAAAAAAAAAAAAAAAAAAAAAAAAAGGAGCGTATATCAAACCAGTTGAAAGCTACCATTGAACCAAGCCAAAAGCTTCAAGCAATCGATAAGAAGACCGTCCCTATGAGAAGGGAAAAGTAAACTGCGAGATATCTCTTTCAATAACAACTCGATAATGCCTCCATTCGTAACTTAAGAAGATTTAACGAGTTGCGCGGACCAAGGTGGCCCCGGTCCCGTAGATTTATACGAAGGGACAAGCGAGAGAGCCGAGAAGAGGGCGCGAGGGGTTTCTGGTTTCCTCGCGGGGTACCCGGCACGATGGCTGCCGTGGAACAGCGGTACATTATTTCTTGATGTCAAATAAAGCAATTAGCATGTGCCCTGACCAGGGTCCACGGGTTCTAACCCGAGTAATCTCACCGGGGTCCCCGGCGTGTGCGACATCTTCATCAGAGACGGACCCTCCCACCCCTTTCTCCGTTGCTTTCTATCTTCCCACCAACCACCCCTCCTGCCGCCCTTCGTTGGACGATACTCTGCTCGCGTGACTATCCTGCACCCCCAGAGACGAGAGACTGAACGCCCTAGGAACAAGGGAACGAGCGAGACACCGACTCTCTCCGAAGTGGAATTGGAGTAGAGAAAGGCGAGGACGGTTTCGAAGGTGGGGTTGGAAACGGCGAAAAGGCGACGCGTCCAGCCGGTGCAGCCGCTTCCAAGGGAAATTTCACAAAGGCTGACCCGTTGCTAATGAATGTTATATAACCCTTTTAATGCTTTAAGCCTCTTAGATTTTTCAGAGAGCCCTCCACACGCCTCCTACGGCCTCCTCTCCTACCCCGGAGGACTCTTTCCTCTCGCGGTGCACCAGAAGTGGCTTGCCAACGCCAGAGGAGAAAAAGAACGAGCGAACGAGCGACGGGGGTCGTGCCTCGGGGGTAGGTAATTATGTGGCGGACGTAAATTAAGCTTGTTTAGATTGGGATTTTTATTAAGGTCCTTTATGAAAGAGTGCCGCCACTAAATGGCGCCCCGAACACTTTATCCCTCGGTATTCCTTTAAAGCAGCGGTTCTTAACCGCTTTTTTACGTCCCCTCTTGACGGTCTAGTGCAACGAGAACCCTTTCCCGGCGTGACTTTTCGCAATATTACTCGAGTCAATATTTTTCCATCAGTCTGTGAAATGATTTTATTATTTTTGGTTTTGACAAACGTATCGTTTTTGTTTATTAGGCAGCGTTTAAAAATTATTATTGTCATCGTTCGAAGGGAAAAATAGAGATTACATCACGGTTAAGAGTATTGGAATTGGCATTTTGAATTTTCCTCTGGCTATCCCTAAGAAATCGTAACCAACGATCAGGAACTACGTATATAAAGGCGAAGCAGGATGTACGCTCCGGAGGTGTACGGAAGAAATAACTAAGGGTTAGTTTAATGGTGCTTTAGGAGTCGAAGGTTTTAACGTTTCCGTTGTCCCCCATTTACGGAGGGTAAGAAGGGACTACAGTGGGTCGAACACATAATGATAAATACAATTTGTTGTTACAATATATTGCACGAAATAGAATCTAGTTAATCGACATAGTACCATTCATATTAAATTAAATTCAATAATTAAATTTCTCATTCACACAAAATGTATTCACAGTCAGTTCTATAAATATCTCCCGTGTTTATGAAAGAAACTTGTCCAAATTAAACGACAGGTTTGATGTTTCCAAATGCTCCGAATCCTGGTTTCGTTCATTGTATATATATATATATATTAAACGCTAGATTCTTCTCGCGTTAATACCTGTTGACCCTTAACGAGGAGCCATTGCAGCCCGGCAAACAACTAATCGGCTTCACGGCAAGGTTTGTACCCGGCGAACTTTGGAACAGCAGTTCTCAGGTACAAACTGTTCGCTATATATTGGAAATACGCATGCCTTCGGAGCGGGCGAGTGCAGAACGAAGTTCTCGGTTAGAAGTTTAATTTAACTGGGCTGGCAGCCGGGCGTAAACGCTGAATGATTTGTTGCAAATCGCGAACGCTTCGGCGCACTTTTGCACACGGAATCGGGAAACGGTATCTTACCCGTCGCGTTGAGTTCAAGTCGACGCGACAATGTGTATCCAAGCGTTTTTAGAACTAATTGCCACTGTACGTTTCGAGTGGATAATATGAAAGGTGATTGCTAAGAGGAACGTCATCCACTCCATTGACAAAGTTTTATATGTACAGTATTGAGCAAATACTTTTGATACTTTCATTCGTTATTGCTCGTTTATTATTAGATTGAACAATCTGTGTTTTGGAGTAAACAATCGCACATGTTATTCTTGAATGATTCTGCGTATTCTTCTAGAATATTATTTTTAGTTATCTGTCATAAAAACAGTAACCGTTTATCTCACTGGGCGTCAGGTCATTTCAAACTGCATCGAGTAACCTACAGCAAGCATATCGCCAGACTTTCGCGAAATAATCAATAACAATTAACGTCGCGGCCGTTGCCGTGGATTCCGCGGAGCGTCGCCGACGTTCGTCGTGGAGTATCGAAAATCGAGATTCGAGTCGATTTTCTCGGATAGCTTTCGTTGAAGCGAGGTCGGGTGTATGCTCGCTCGTTCTCTCGATTAGGCTTTGCCGTCATTAAAAGTTTATAAAGAAGCAAAGCTACCAGTCGGGGCACGCCGACGCGAGGAGGAACGAAGACGGCTAAAGGGGGTGTTCCAGGAGCAAGAGGGCGTGGTAGGAGTGAACCAGACGACGTTGGAGGGACAAGGAAGGAAAGAGATTCCGAGCTAGTTTTCTCATGTGCAATGCATAATGAGGAAAGGCAGACGGCGCATAAAGGGCCTACAAATGAGGCTCTGGGTTATACGCACACGTTCCTGGGTGGATGCGCGTAACAAACGCACACTAAGGTTAACACCTACACGGACGAGGGCGTGAACGACTTTATCTAACCCCCCATGCCACGATGGCTACAGCGTTACCGACTTCTAAACGCGCAGCGATGTTAAAAACTTTCCCCTCTGATTTTAGTTATGCCCGCCAACTTTCGAAACGATGGACCCATAAAGTTCTCTGTTAATCTCATGCTTACGCGGCGTTTGTATTGTATCGCGCGCGAACTCGTGCCTCTGCTGCTTGGAAGACGCGAGTGTTGTGCATGGGGAGGTATTAGTAACTGAATTGGTATTTTTAAGCTCGCGTTAGGGCTTAGAATTAGTTCGAGAATGAATAATTAGAGAATAATTTCTTTCCTAAAAGATACAATAAAATTCATGCGCTAAAGTTATTTATGGACTGAACTATCCCTGATTGATTTTATACATCCGATAAAAGTACCAAATTATGAAAGTAACCTAGCCAACGACTTCTTCGAATCACCCTGTGCACAGCCGATTTCGTTCCCTATAATTTGAGATACAATGTACGTACTTCAACATTTTGCACAAGTTCAGCTAGATTTCAATAGCCATTCACAATATGGGTCGCGGAGCAATTATGGCTCTATCAATGGATTTTGACTCGTGGAAGCGTTGTTGATTGCTCGAACCAGACCGACGAAGTAACGGCGAGCAAAAGTGCCAGCACGCGACGAGCGAGGCATGTTGCATGAAAACCGATTAAAGGTGTTGGATCGATCTTCCCTAGTAACTGACTCGCCATACTTGCTGACGAAAGGTGCAAATCGTTGATCCGGTTGGTAACCATGCGCGACTCTCATGACGTTGGAGGTATAAATACGTAGGAAAAAATTGCAATGGTTTACCACTAGAACTACCAAGTAATCAATTTAACTTATTTTGAAACTCGTTTTAAAATTGCCAATGCTTTTGTCACATAAATTGTGGTGACAGTTATTGAAACAGAAAATTAAATATACCGATGAAAGGTATGCATGAATTGAAATATGATTTACTAGAAGTAGGTATGCATTGATTTTGGTAGTTTTATTGTTAAACCATCGAATGGTTTCTGAATGATTAGATGAGCAACCAGATGGTAGAATTGAAGAGTGATGTTGTGACAACTTGAACATTAGTATTGTAATAATTACTCACGATTACGTACTGGCAGGTGAGTGGTGTATTTTCTCTTACCTTGTTCATGATTTGGCGGGGATAGTCCCGCCTTGCGAGGGTCGACTCTGCAACAGAAAGAAAGTTACATCAGTCCCTGCTCTTAATTTGACTATATTTTGAAAATGTAAAGTGGATAAAACATCGTGACACTTCATGTACCAAACTACGATGCTTTTAATATTCTCGAACTTCCAAATAAGAACGATAAAATTGCCAGATTTCTTCACGAATTTCCACCCCTTTAGAATAATTTTCCCCAAACTACCTGAACTCCATATAAAACCCAAGCAAAATGTTTTCCATCTACGAGAAAGAAATAGTTCTCTCACTGAATCTAATTTTCAAATTTTCTCCAGCACTTCATAACATTACTAATGCACACAGAGTTACTCGGTCGTGCACCCAGTCCCGCATCTTCTACCACCCCCAATCCTCGCCCCTGAACGGGGTACCACCGAATTCCCGTAATCTAATGAATGGCCTAACCCCAATATCCTCTCGGTTCAGCCTCACCGCCACCTACCCTCTATGTACTCGAGCTGTATGTACCATGCATGTAAATACGTTCACGGACCAAAGATTCGTACGATATCGGCGTGACTGTGTGCTGCGAATTCTTTAAAGCTCGCCGACCCTCCAGTCATGATTAATTATTTCCACGTTATCGCGATGCTCTCCCCTTTCGATTTCACCGTGACGATCGAACTGGATCAGCGAATCATTGTGGTTAACGGTTTGTAACGCAATGGCTACCTCGAGTAAGTAAACATGTCACGCTCGAGGCAAGGCTGCCGTAGCCGGTCTTTCTCGTGGAAGGACAAGGAAGCGCAAACGTGTTTATTTTCGGAAAATAATAAAAAGGATCGTCCAGCGGCCGTGACGCCAGAGCGATCGTACCAAAGTTGGGAATAATGTTTCGGACACGACGCTCGTCTGGCTTTGCCCCGTCGCTACACCCACCTACGACCCACCCCGTTCCTCCCTCCGATCTCCGACCAGCCTACCCTTATACGCGTGTCCGCCGCAGATTCAGACTCCTAATTAAGACGAGGGTGCGAGAGGGGTTTCAGGGGTTTCTCCCGGGTTCACCCCCGTAGGGAGGTGGGAGGATGTGGGCGAGGGTAGCAGGAGGGTATCCACGAGGTAAGGGGCACCCGTACCGCGCCGGAGGGGTAAGCCAAGGCAAAGGGGGTAAGGAATATTGATCACGGGACCACCAACGCCAGCGAGGCAGGGACTGCCCGTACTCTCCGTCTCTATCACGCCAAAACTCCCTTCTCTCACCCTCTGCCTAGTCTTCTATCGTCTTGCCTCGCGTAAGTGTGTCCCGCGCTATCCCACGTAACCGTCGCCCGTCTTTCGCCCGTTGCTCTCGGCGTGTGCAACCGGCGCGGACCAAGCCAGGCCAGACTAAACCACCAAACGCCAGATGCGTGAAATCAGTCGGTTAGAGGCTGCCCCGCAGCCTTTGCGAATTATTGACGCTGAAACCGCGACCGCGGAACAGATGATGCTGCCGAGGCTGTTCCGAGACCGTGAGCCTGAGGGACGAGCCGCAGGACGATGGCCAGAAGTATAACGAACGCGAGCAGGGTGTTGCGACACCGTGCTCGCCTGACGTCTCAAGGTGTCGACGTAATTATTTCACGTCGACTTTGTAACTGATTGGTTCGGGGTTTCTCTTACCACGGCGCTGGACCACTGCTGTGGGGCTCGACGAAGTCTTGGGAGAAGGATAGAAGGTTCTGTACAAGATATATATCAATATGTGGAAGCCACATTAGTGGCCGAGTAGGAACAGAAAAATGGTGGAAGAGGTATATATTAACTTTTTGATCTACTTGACTGTGTCTTATAAGTACTTGTGTACCCCGTGAATCACAAAAGTAGATGGTTTGATAAGCAGTCGTCAAACAGATAGTTTTTTATTCTACGATAATTCTACGCAATAACAACTAATTTAGCCTTCTTCTGTATCCCCCAATTTTTCGAACTTTTATCCCTCCACCCTTGAATGAAATAGATCCTGAAACTCTCCAGTAACGACTGTTACAGGTGAAGTCAGCCCTGCTCCCGCGCAAGGGTTTCGTGCGATGTCGAGGAAAGGAACAGGACTGTCGGACGAAACTTCTACGCCCCAAAATCAGGGGTTTGGCCTGACGAACTTTGACGCACACGCTCGACCGAACAGATCTACACCGTAGACGTGTGCAGCGTTCTCACGAGTTCTCGAGAGATCTTCCAGAATGGCAAGAAGGAGGAACGACTTGGCTCGTTCCCGAGGCTACGACAGGAAGAACGGTACGACGAGACTAGCTCGAGTTTACACGACGTACCGACTCCTCTTTTCTGTCCGTCGCTCCGCCTTAATTAAATCTCTCAACCCTTCCCGAACGACTCGCGGCTCTAGCGGAGAACTAGAAGTAGAATGGCCCGCCCTTGTCGTTTCTTTGCCCCACTCGCTGTCGTAACGCGTCTGGATTACGAGATTTTTCACGCTAATTGCCGTGTCTGTTCGCACGAACAGCGGTGACGTCGTCTGGGTTCTTGGAACTAGAGCCTTGGTGGGATTGACGGTTTGGGAAATAAAATTTTCCAACATAAAGTTGTCGGTACCCATACTGAGATAATGGGTACGAATATATATTGAACTAATTTTGTATACCCTCTCGAAACCACGCAAGTCTAATCTGATGCACTTTCTCCTGCCATCTGGAGTACTCAACGTATCAAGTACCCTGTTTGAGCTACCCACTTTGCGCATGGAATTTGATCCACGTGACCCCAACACGAAAACGTACAATCATCCCCGTCCAGAAGAGCACCAAACGACAATCATTATACATGAAAAGTTCAAACGGAACGGTCCTCCCGCGAATAATGGACGGTCTATCACGGAGAGCGTCTTTTCTCAGTCGTCCTCTTCGCAGATTCAATACGCCACCATTTTCATGGCTCTAGGTGCCGTTATTCGGTCCGGTAACGAACGTCAAGGGCGACCTCGACGAGGCCGGAAGAGATCTCATTGTCCAGAAGCGGAGGCCACGATAGGAGGGTTGCACACTGCCGGCAACCAGCCAACTCAAACTTTGATATGGTTTCCTAAATAACCAAGGCGACCGATACCGCAGCACGATAGCCCCCCTGCCACCTCCCCCCACACCTCCCCTTCAGGCTTCCCCTACCCACGAGGTCTGCATCCACTCCGATCTATGGCGGGTCCAAGGCGGGTATCGTAACTACTGTCGAAGCATATTGAAACCCTCACACCATCGATGACCTAACTCGACGTCTCCCCTTCCACATCTGCGCCAGGAAACCGGTACACGTCGGTGCCCTTCGTGCAAAACCTTCGCCACTGAGTGCGTTTGTCGTTTCAACGAGAGAAGGTTGGCCGCATGGAGCGTGGTCGATCGAACGTTATAGCTTCACGCTAACGCGGACCGGTGTTTCGGCAATTTGAAAATGGAGTGACAGGCAATCTCTACGGAGAGCTGAGAAGAGGAGAAACGGGGGGGGGGGTGGGGGTGGTGGTGGTGGCTGGGGCACGCGTAATGACCACTGATTTATCCGCGAATTTGGAAATAAAGTTTGCAGGGATAATCGCACGCGGAAACCCAGGTGCGTTGCAGTTGGACACCTGAGATAAATTCGGAGGCGAAAAAGTTGCACCGTTTACAAAATCTTGACCAATAGCAACACAGGTTCTAACAAGAATTATTTTATTACATCACCTAGCTACCACCCTACTGAAACAAAACAAATTTTACTGGACAAGATCGGTCGACAAGTTTTTCCTAGTCGATGATTAGGTGTTCGGTTACCTTCAGAACAGAGGTGCACGATAACGATCGAGAACGAAGCCACGCGTACGGGGCTTAGGCTATCCTTCCTCAGGTAACGGTTGAGCTGTATCTGGAGGTTAACTGTTTGTCCGCTAATTAGAAGCTAACAGCAGAACTAAAGTTCCGAACTTTAAAGTTTCTTGCTTCTGCAGGAGCCTCCTCTCGCCCAGCCGGTACCCTCTTCTCGGGTGCGGTGCAGACACCCCAGAGGCGAACGCCCTATCGTCTTTCCACTCTTCTTCCCTTTCACTCCTTCATCCTACGACCGGCTAGCGTTAATTACTAATTAATTGTTTCGCATGTTTGAGTTTTAAATGGATAAGTTAAACAGCGCATAAGAGCCCTGGACGTGGAGAACGCCGGGTTCTACAATCCCCCTTTCGTTTAGTCTCTTCGTCCATCGTTCGGTATCCGTTGCCTCGCCATCTTTTTCGCTCCTCCCCTTTCGTCCCGTTCCTGTTCCCTTTGCGTACGATTACAGTGCAAACGGTGTACTGTCGGTTAACGAAGTTAGGATGACCGTGTGAGAGAGCGCTGGGGAACCGCGCTCGTTCGTTTATTCGTTTTTCACCTCGTCATCAAAACGCTGCATCCCTCGAGTGCGCGCGTTACATTACATTACTCGTAGGCGTGAAACTTTGATACGCTGGATGGATGAAAAGTAAATGGAGTATGCGGCCGGCGGCCAGAAGATCTCTGATATTTGATTTATGTTCGATTCGTGCCGGTGGAAAATTATTCCACGCCTCTGGGACTTCGATCGTGGAAATTGCGCGAACTGGATAGTTTAGTTTTGATATTCGAAAGAATTTCTATATTTAGTACGGAAAAATTGGTGTGTGCGGTGACTCTCCTAGATGTTTAGATGGTTGGCGAGTGTTTTGAAATTTTCAAGATCTTCCTAAATTATTTTTCTTTTAATAAGTATGGATAATGCTTATCACTACTGTCAATTTATAAATGTTCCCACTCTGTCTCGTATCATCTTCGACCTGATCACTTCTGATTATTTTTTATCCGCTATTCTGACTGTTATTCATTCCCTGAACCAGACTTTACAGTTAAAAATGTACTCTCGAAGCCTGGTACATTTTTTCCAACTAAACAAACAACTAAGTTTTTTCCCCTGACAAACATAATTCCAGTAGCATATAAATTTTTATTTCATTCCTACGAAAATTGTATTCAACGCACCGGAGATCTTTACCTATGCAAATTGA